TGCAGTTTTGTCTCCTACTAGTTTGTGCAGTTTTATGTTTTATTGGTTAGAAGACAAGCTTGTTTCGCTTAATTTTTTTTCTTTTTAAATTCTCGCTATTCACCATAAAGATAGGCATTTGGTTACCAGTACAGTACATAAAAGGCCTGAAATCCTTTAGCCAAGGCTAATCAACTAGCAGCCCGTGGGCTGAGTCCAGCTCGCAACCGTCTAGCAAGTGACCCACACAGATCATTGCTGCAAATTATTGATCTTTGAAGTGATGGCTCAGGACAATGTCCTCAGAGGATCCTAGTTTTCAATATCTTGGCTTGAGTAAAGTTAGTTAAATAGCCTGAATAAAGTTAGTTAAATAGCCTGAGTAAAGTTAAATATCCTGGCCATAGTAACAGTTAATTAACAATTATTGACTAGATCTTTTCTCCAGGCTATGCTGGCATAGGGGGTAATAAACAGGCGGACCGACTGGCTGAATCTGCACCACTGGGTGGTGAATTGATACATTCAAGTCAGATTTGGTCTAGGCTTTTTGGTAACAAGCAAGAGAATCAGTAGAGATTATGGCCTGGACAGAATTAGGCACATTCAGGGGAAGGATGAGAAGGAAATACAGACGGTTATTGGTACTATCGGAATTAGAACTCTTCACTTGCTGCTGAAGATAAGGACTGAGCACCTAAGGGAGTGTCCCGAATGCTGTGATGTCGATTCTTAAATTGAACATTTAACATTCTCTGCAGCCATTGCCCAGTCTATAGTAGCATTGTTGGAAATCACCACCCATACAATAACTTGAGTTGAGCTGAGTCAAGAATTGACATCACAGCACTCGGGGCATTCCCATGCATGCTCTGTTCAGCAGCCAGTGCAGAGTTCCAATACTGATGGTACCGGTCACAATCTGGTTACATTCCGTCTGCCTTTCCTCTGAATGTAGTGAGCCAGCCACACTCTGGTTGTAGCAGGTGCCTCATTCTCTCCAGGCCATAATAATCTTGGTTCTCTACTGATTCCATTGCTTGTTCCCAAAGAGCTTTGCCCACATATGCCTTGTCCAAGACTACACAAACTGAAAGCATTTCACTCTTTAAAAAAAAGACTTTTATTTGTTCTTGAATGACAGAAAGCAAGAGAATCTGTGACACACAATCTGTATTCTTGTACATTTGCCATATTTTGGTATTGTTTTAGCAATAAGAAGCCATACTGCATCAATATAAGGCAAGGTGTGTATATTTAAACACATTTGTGAAAATGTATTTTCTTTAACGCATAAAGGGCTTTTTTTTTAACTGCAATATAAACTTATTTATGCAACATGTAAAAATCTACTAAATACATGAAGCAAAAATATGTTTTCCTTTGATAACTTTTTAAAAAGAGAAGGAAATAACACCTTTGCTCCAGTAATGCCCTCCATACATTTTGCAGAAGAGCATAATTCAGTTATCACATTATGAAAGAGAAATCACACATACACGTGAACTGAACATCTACAAGCATGAAATATGGACAATCTTTTTAAAATAGTTCTTATATAATAAATAAACATGCACAAATATGTCACATCACAATTTATACTAAATCATATAAATTATACAGTGAAAGAGGAAATGATAAAAATGTCAGATAAGTAACCTAATCATATATATTGATTTTTTTAAGGAATGGAAATTAAAAACAAAAGGAAAAGGTATAAGTACAGAACTGTAAAATTATATTTAATTACTTTTCTTGGTTTGTTACATAATGCATAGATTTAAGAGTAGTATCTGGCTAGTCGGCCTCTGTGGCTTAGGCGTTACGAATGTAATGCCGGGGTGCCAGGTTTGATCCCAGGTTGGGAGGCCTTGAGTTGGTTTCGACAGTGGTATCGAAAAGCCGACTGCCCAGAAAGCAATGGCAAACTACTGGACATAAACTTGCCTAGAAAAACCACAGAAGGCAAAAAATACTGGGGTTGGTTCTGCTAAGTCCTGTAAAGGATACACAAGTAACTATCTGGCTATTGGAGTTTTAACTCCTTTAAAACTTAGCTATAGGCGGAAAAAAGCATATATGTATTACTTTCACAGGGGCAAAATATTATTTAGAAATATACAATGCAAAAATAAAAGACACAGTAGGTTTAATGTTTGTCATATAAATCAGATCTCATGATGCACTCATTTGAGACATTAGGGCAGTCACTGATCATACACAATATGTTGGTTGTGACTGAAGGAGTTAAGATGTCTTGAATCTACTGCTCATTCTGAAACTGTGGATTCCAGGAAAATATGGTAAAAACAATAGTTGAGTCACTTTGTACACAAAAGTGGGTTCTGGGGCCCCATTGTGGGGAAAACAAGAGTAGACCCACTTTGTACACAAGTTGGTTCCACAGAACCATTGTGGGGAAAATGTAGACCCACTTTGTACACAAAAGCATGTAGTAGGAATCAACTAATCTGGAGCTTTCTTCAAATTCAGAGTGCATCTGCCTGAAAGGCAAGGAACCACAAGTCTGCTTACAAATGAGTCAGATATGTAAAACGGATGTGCACGCAACATTCAAGTTATTAAACAGGACTGGGAGTCCAGACTAGAAGTGGACAAACAACCAGAACTTTCCGCAGGAGGTTGTAGCTGAACGTGAAGAAGACATTTACCCTAGGATGTACGTCATTTTGGCATAAGCATATACTATATGACTGGAGTTCGAGTCATGTAGGTGGGTGTGTTGTGACATAAATTTTTAAAGCCCTTCATTATTTACAACATACTCTTTCAGTAAATTTTTCAAGATATGCAGTTTAAAATGATAAATGGATATTTTTCAATCTCATAGTTATTTGGCACATATTTGAAACTTACATGTTGTACCAGTTCTTTTAATGGCATTGTTTGTCAAAACAAGCTCTATATAGCATGCTAGAATCCTTTTCCCAACCTCCAATGAAACGGTTATTCATTTTACATATACTGTCATGGCTTAATAGGGATAGTCCAGTTAAATTTTTCGCCAGCATAGACCAGGCACCAGTTTTAAATCTAGTGCCACAAATTGTCAACCCACCTGGCAACACTGAATATTATTTTTTCCTAATACTGCAAGCATGAGCTTTCTTTAGGCCAGGAAATGCCAGATGCTATATTCTGTTGATCAAGAAGCCAGTTTGTACTGGCCATGACCTGTGGTGTTGCTAACATGTTGGTTAGTACTGTATAGGTCATTACCCAGTCTGTTAATTTATTCCCATGTATTAACTGTTTCTGTTTTGGGAGCTGCCTTGGTGTAGCAGCTAGATGCTTGCTTGAGGGCCAGAAGGTCGTGGGCTTAGGTCCTGAAAGAACCAGACTTTTCCCCTCAAAAAAAAAAGGACCTTGATATTCAGACCTTGACCCCGCCTTAAATTAGTACCAGGTAAAGTCCTGGAAAGTAAAGGCAGCAGGCATGATGCGACTACATCACCCACAGAGTGCCGATTGGTCTATAAAATAAAGGTCTAAGTCCTATATGCCCAACCCGTATGAAGACGTGAAATAGGTCCTTTACTTTACTGTATGTTTAAAGAAGCTTTCACCAATTTAAAGAAAAATTGGCAACTGGTGCATGAAAAAAAAACTGTCCATCAATGACACAGATAGCTTCTTCTTTTGTTCACTTGAAATGTTGCCTCTAGTATGAATTTCACTGACTGTCGTAATTAACTCAGTGACCCGTAAAATTTGGGTATAATAAACAATCCATTACATTAACGCACTTAACATGGACCCTACAATGTAAGCAATAGGAAGTCTTTTTCTTAGTCCATGTGTGGGTTTGGTAGTCATGTATATCCACAACCCACTGTCTCTACTTTCAATCAACTCTGAAACTGATGACCTTCCATGCCAGCATCTTCTCTCTTGGCCTCCCTCTGCCTCTTTTTCCCCTCCAACTTTCCTACCATCATGATGTAATCAAGTTTTTACCTTCTTATAACATGACCAAAGAATGTAGATTATCTTTTTTCTGATGTGGGCAATTAGTTCTCTTTGTGAGTCAGTTTCTTTTAAGACACCTTTTTATCTGTCTAGGGTATGCTCATTATTTATCTTTAAAACACATCTCAACAGCATTTTTTTCACTAATCATCCAACTGTCCATGATTCACTTCCATATATCAGGATAGGATTTATATAGCTTTTAAGACAAAAGACGATTGCATAGAATAAGAGATCTACAGTTCTAAAATACAACAATTACATATTTTACAGGTCTTATACCTCACTCATAAAATGGCGGGAATTTCGGCAACAATCCACGTCTCTTCAAATATACCTCACATAGTTAAAAAAAAATGACCTTACTGCGCTTATACAACACTGTTTTATTCCACCCATAGTAGGCCTACAGTAATTATGAAGGGCCCCCCTTTTCGTGTCAAGAAGAAACTGGTAAATGGTGCCAGTCTCATGTTTTACAAAGCAATCATATGGTGGGTCATGTGATCAGTGTCATGCCAGCCATCTTTACTCCCAGAATATTTTCTAGTACACATTTTGGGCTGTTATATCCTGAGAGCCTCAGTTAGTTAACATTTCTTGCAGGGGTTTCAACACAGGACACCCTGACAGTAAGGCAAGCATGCTTCTGTATTCATACTGCTGCCAGTCAGGACTCTGCAGTAGCGGCTGATTTTGAAATAAAATTTATTATTCTATTCTCGTGAATACCACAAACAAACAAAAAATATAATGAATGATCCCTAGCCAGTGGTGGCAATAGAAAGAATGCAGGAATCAAATTACAAATGCATACATGAAGAAAACTTAATGCATGATAGCAAAGAGAAGGATAGAACCAGTTGCATTAATTATATTCCTTTGACTGAAGTTGAATTCAGCATAAAGATTCACACACTCACAAATATATGCACAGTGTTAAATGTTGTAGTACAATTTGAAAAATGAAGACCTAAAGATAATTTAAATGACGCTAGAATACTGAGACAGGTTAACCTAACCCATGCCCCCTACTGGACCTCCACTGAAAATGGGCTTCCGGGCACTTCCTGGTCTCCCCATCTGATGGCCATGGTGTAGCGGCCACTGTCCTTGACGATGTACTGGACGCCGTACTGCAGATTGCCCTGGTGTTTGACCAGCAGTTCATCACATGGTCCTTTTGGACCCAGCATACCAATAAACATCATGTTGTTGCCTGTAGACAAAAAAAAAAAAAAATGGTTCACTTGTATTCAGTTTATGTTTATTCATTGGATCAACATCATGGCACACGGGTGTAACTCATAAGTGCTCTGTACTATTTCTAACTCATTCTGTGAAGGCGTAAAGTGTCTTTAATGTTGTTGATCTAACTTTTTCATGGCCATCCTATTGCTCTTGTAGCTGTTCTTCTGAAATGTGGTGCGTGTGATGAGGTTTGATGTTGCTTCATTCTAAAAAGATTGACAAACCACTCATAAATGCTCTGTACTATTGCTAACTCAAGCCTGAGTCTAAAGAATCTTAGTGCACTGCACAAACTCCGTTGCACCGGTAAGGATCTCGAAATACTTGGGGTAAATTTTTAATTCCAAATGTTGCTGTTAAGCTACTCTTTTTTGATTTCCAACTGCCAAGGGATTTGTTACGTGTGCAACAATACCTGCGGGCGTCCGGTCTTACTATCCAGCGACCAGGGGAAATTACTACGTGGAAAAATCCTAGTCTTCACTGGGGTTTGAACCCGGGACCTCCAGCACTTGAGGCGGATGCCATACCTCAAGACCACTCAGCCCCCTCTGTATTCAGACAAACCAGAAAAGATTTCACATATATTAACTCTTTCGGACCCAAAAGGTTTCATACAAAAATAATTTAAAAAATTAAATATTGTGACAAAAACTTGAATCCTTTGATGTGTTGTTCTGGTACACATATTATCTTTGTCATCATCATCAGCAACCATTTCTGTCAGTAAAGGTTGTGGTGAGGAATAATTTACAATCCGGTGCACACTGGGTGGCTATTGTCGTTCTGTGAAAGCGTAAAGTGCCTTTAATGTTGTTAATCCAACTTTTTCATGGCCATCCTATTGCTCTTGTAGCTATTTTTTCTGAAATGTGATGGGGTTTGATGTTGCTTCATTCTAAAAAGATTGACAAACCACTTGGTTTGCTATTTATTGATAAACCTAGCACAAGGTGTCATACTCCCAGATTTCAATTAAACAAAAATGAAAAGATGACATTTAAAGATGCTAAATACAAGTTAAAATCTTCTTCTTCTTTGCATTCAGTTTTGTATGCTCAGATCAGACCATCAGGTGGGTTGCCTCTGTGAACTCGCATGTCAGTAGCAGGTCCTTCATGGTTCCCCATAGCTTGCACTGCACACTTTGCTCTTAAGGCCAGGTGTCTTTTCAAAGTTGTAGGTAGAATAGGCAAGTCTGCAGAATGTGCTCATGTGTTTCTGGTCCTGTTTGACAGGCACACTGTGGGGACTGTACAATCTTTATTTTATGCTTGTGGTAGTTGAGTCTGCAGTGTACTGTTTGTAGAAAATTGTTGTATGTTGCTTTCTGTTGAGTCTGCTGATAGGGTCTTGTGGATGTTTACTGTTAGTTTGTTCTCTCCACAATTCCTTGTATCTTCCTTTGATAACTGTTATGATTTCTGGTAATGTCAATGAATTTGCGTGTTGTTTCTCCTTTGTTCCATTTTTAGCAAGTCTGCTAACTCATTTCCTGGTATGCTGCAGTGAGCTGGGATCCACTGGAGAACGATTTGATTCTTTTCTATGAGTCTGTTTAGCTAGCGGGTCAGTTCTCTCTCCATGTTGTCTAGAGGATACCTCTGAGTCGCCTGGAGGACTGACATGCAATCACAAAGGAAACCAATTTTGCTGCTTTTAATTGTTCTTTCCTCAAGCACTTTGGCTGAATCAATAATTGCTTGCTGCTCTGCTCTAAAGTTTGCTGAGAGTTTTCTGGAGGCGGATGACGTTTCTACTGTGGTCCCATCTTGCAGCAAGATGACCGATCCAGCTCCTCCATTTTTTTTTCTGCCCCCTCCAATGATCCATCGATGTATGTGTCCATTTGAGTTTTGGAAAACAATTGTAGACATGTTTAAGGGTCTTTGCATGCAGTACTAGGTCACATTCTTCAGCCTTTCTGTCTATGCCTGGAATTGTTGTGACTGAATAGTTAGGCAGAGGTCTATGCTAAATGCCTGGATCATTTTCCATGTTGGAGGATCTTACAATAAGAACTTATTTGTGGCATTCGTAGACCAGGAGAAGGCATTTGACAGAGTCGACAGACAATTATTATGGAAAATAATGGCAAGATATGGAGTAAGCGAATACCTCATCGAAGTGTGCAAAAGTTTATACAGGGATTGTAGAAGTGTAGTTAGAATAAATCAGGGAACATCTCATTCTCTCACAGTGACATCTGGAGTAAGACAGGGGTGCGTCTTATCACCACTGCTGTTTATCACCTACATCGACAGCATATGCAAGAATGCCAAGCCCATGAATGAAGATCTTAGTAAGATCAACGAATTACTCTTTGCAGATGACCAGGCCTTGATAGCAGATACAGCCATGAAATTGCAACAACATCGAACATCCATGAATGAAGAATGTAAAACAAATAATATGAGAATCAACACTGAAAAGACAGAAGTAATGTCAATAGAAAAAAAGAAGACAGCAATAGAATACAAAGGCATTAAACAGGCATCTGAGTTTAAATATCTGGGAACTACATTTACCGAAGATGGGAAATTGGATAAAGAAATTGACATTAGATGCAGTAAAGCAAACCAAGTATTGGGACAGCTATCTCCCCTCTTACAGCATAAGACAATCCCAATCAGCACAAAGAGACATCTTATTCAAAGCATATTTATTCCAACTCTGTGCTACCAGTGCCAGACATAGTCACTCACAATAAACCATAAAAGAAAATTAGTAACCACGGAAATGAGATGTCTGAGAAGGGCTGTAGGAGTGACCATAAGAGATAAGATCAGGAATGAGATCATAAGAGAACAAGTCGGCACAGAAACAATTCTGGATTACATACAAAGACAGCAAGTGAAATGGTTTGCCCACTTAGAGAGAATGCCTTGTGACACCATACCATACAAAGCATACATGGAAAGAGAAGAAGGACGTAGAGCACGGGGTAGACCAAGAACAAGATGGAAGGATAACATCAGAGAAACTCTACAACAGCACAATATGCCTATGGTCGAGGCAGCCAGAAGAGCTAGAAACAGAACCTTATATCTCCCTCGACACCCACAGCGGTAAAAGAGGAAGTGAAGAAGAAGAAGTATCTTTAGAAAGGATGTCACTGTTTTGTTTGTAGTACAATTCTAGAAATGACGACTGAAGGTCAGATGGGTTAGAACGTTGCCCAGCTTGAAGCAAGCAGCAGCTATCCTCCTGAGACCTCTCCTATTCAGGTAATTGCAGTTTTAAATTCATAGCAAATGGGTCACCCTGTAATTGCTCCGCTCCTCTGCCAATAAAAATCACACAGAATGTTCCTCACTGTCCCTTGTGGAAAATGTACACAAACTGCATTCTCAGCATATCCACTGGCATACACACATATTAAATGCCTATGGCATCTGTCAGAAGTGCTAACACAAACTGTCTGACACCAGAAAATGCAGTTCAACATCGATGGAAGCAGCAGCTACAACAAATTAGTTGTTGCATACACAATTAATCCATAGGGCACCAGCAGTTAGTTCTGTGGCAACAGGCCACTCGCCGTTTTTTGAATCTACAGTTCACAACACATTGGTCACAGTTAAAAAAATCCGCAGCTCACAGTGTCATGTCATGCACTCAACTCAGTAACTGGGTAATGAAACTGTTTTCTTTCATTCTACACATGGAGGAAAATGAAACAGCACCTATTGCCAGAAACAAGAACTTGCTGAAGTGGTCAAGCCATTTGCATCGTGCTCTGAAGGTCGTGGGTTTGTTTCAGGTTTGCGCTGTTCAGTTCATGAGTGCATTTTTTTACGAAGATTCCTAGGGATCATTGCTAGTGCTCTCGACTGGTAGGTAGCTGTTTTATGGAGACAGAATGAGCCATATGGGATAAAACTTGGTGCAAGGAAGTTGCAGAATGGAGTGATGTGAACAGACAGGGTCAAGAGTAAACCCAAGAGAAGGCCAGTGTTTTGTGGTGCTCGTTGAATAACAGCATTGCAAGGAAGACTTGCCCAATATATCCATGAACGGTATTATTGTTGAAAGAAGAGATAAGTTAAAATACTTAGGTTTGACGTTTGATTACAGTCTGTCCTATAGATATCACATGGAGCAGACTGTGATAAAATGCAAGCGTGGCCTGGCGGCACTGAAGATGATAGTGGTGACACACATGGAACAGAAATTATTGGTCTTATGGTTCAACCATTTGGTCCTTTCTGTAACTGTTTATGGCCTAGGAATATTAACCCTATCTACTTCACAGTGTACAAAGCCTGAAGGGATTAAAAATGAAGAAATGAGAATTGTCTTGGGTTGCAGACACCCCAGTTAGAACAATGAGGTACACGCTTGGGCTGAGATCAATAAAGTCTAGACTATCACTGGCGCAAGCCTAGGCCTTTTTGAGAGTTACCAATGATGAAAGGCATCCGCTGCATGGTAATTTGAATGATCTAAGAAAAGACTGATTGAAAAGAGAAAAGTCATGGATGGCACTAGCTGAAGATACCATTGAGACGGCGGCCGCAGTCAAGCAAATACACAAAGGGCAGGAATGGATCGACACGAACACCTACAACAGAAGTTTCTATCAGGTCATTATTACGTTAGGAAGAGAATGTAGAGAGTGGTGTAAAAGTATGACAGAATTAGAGATCCACCAACTGATAGATGGAAAGCTGGACTAGATGATGCAGTAGTGTACACCGATGGTTCTGTTCATGGGGGTGTAAGATCTGGCTGGGGATTTTCAGCTAGAATAAAGGGGAAAATTGTGGCAGAACAAAACATAGCTTTTTTTATCTGATACTTCAAAAATTAGAATGGAAGTGGAGGCAATCACTGCAGCTCTGTGGATGGCAGTGGATGGCAGAAAACAAAGTAACCAGAGGAATTATTATGTCTGATTCTCAGTCAGCATTGCAGAAGGTTCGAACTGGACTAATGTGGCATGAGTGGATACCATGCATCAGTATGCAATATTGCAGAGAATCAGGTGGATATACTGTCTGAAACATGCTGTAGTGCAAGGGAATGAAAGGGCGGATTTTCTGGCTACAAAAGCGAAAGCTACGGAAACACTCGTATTGAACAAGGGAGATATTCTGAAGACCATGTATGAACGACTTTTGGCAGAAGAACGAGATTAGATGAGATAACATGGGCAAGAATGTGTGAATTAGGAATTAAGTGTGGACCTGACAAGGAAGGATGGATGAGAGGAAGACATCTGCGTATGTATAATCAGTGTGCTACGGGAACAGTTAGCATCTACACCTTACGTCATTTGCTGTGGGAGATGGAGCATCTATGGGTATGTCCGTTGTGCTATGATGTGGATTCTTAAATCAGTAATCAGGAATGAAGTTGATCCTCTAACCTTTACCTTTACCCTCCATATTGACCGGACCCTCTCCCATTGTTGAAAGCAACCCCAGGTATCATGATTTACACCAAAAATTATAATAGAAATAAATCAGTTTTCCACAAAAATTGCAATATGCAAAAGCCAGTTAAACAAGATGTACAAGAATACACAGGTTTACATCAAAAATTACAAGAATAAACCAGTATACACCAACAATTCAAACAGAAATAAACCAGTATACACCAACAATTCAAACAGAAATAAACCAGTATACACCAACAATTCAAACAGAAATAAACCAGTATACACCAACAATTCAAACAGAAATAAACCAGTATACACCAACAATTCAAACAGAAATAAACCAGTATACACCAACAATTCAAACAGAAAAAAACCAGTATACACCAACAATTCAAACAGAAATAAACCAGTATACACCAACAATTCAAACAGAAATAAACCAGTATACACCAACAATTCAAACAGAAATAAACCAGTTTACACCCCCCCTTCCCCCCCCCCCCCCCAACAAAACAAAAAAAAAACGAGGGAAAAAAACCCCAGTTTACACCAAAAAGCACAAAAAATAACAACAGAAACAAACCAGTTTAGACCAACAATTGTTTGTTCCAAGACAGTCATTGGTATAATTTGGACACAACCCACTCACCTGCATTAGAAGCATCCACAGTGAAGGTGTTTGGCTGCCCTCTGACAGCTCTAGTGAGACCAGGTCCCTGGACCTTGACTTTGCTGGCGTCGGAGATCAACCTCTGGACTCCACTGAATCTTGTGGTGGTGCTTGTCTTGGTGACGGTTTCCACGACCACAGAGGCATGCTCTTGCATGGCACTGGGCTGTCCTTGACCTGCAGAATTACAATAATTAAATTATCCTCTGCATGCCTGGCACCTTTCTGTCTTTCCAGATGATAATGTTATACATTGTGCCATGAGGAAGCCAGGGACTCACAACCAGAGGGGGAGTGTGACTAGCAAGACCCGCCCGTGTCAAGAAAAGTCTTCCACAACTATAGCACAGGATTTCAGGACCATTGTTGTCAACATTTGTGTTTAGTCTGCATCTTCTCAGACGCTCAGCTCTTATCCTTTCTGCAATCATTTCTTCCTTCATTCTCATTCCCTTTATGATGTAATCCCTCCACATAACACGGTCATGACATTTTGTTCCCATGAGTCAACCTCAATACTTGTATCATTCATGCCCCACTTGCACACATCTTTATATCATAGTCGAAATCACCCTTAACATCTTCTGCTCGTCTCTAATTCACCATAATGGATGTCCTTAGGGACTCTTCCATCCTCTATTCTCCAGATGTGACCCAGCCTCCGTAGACTGAGCATTGAGAAGACTGTTGTAATACCTGCTCTTTCCAATACTAAAAAGTCGTTCCCATGTGAGATGCAATTGTTTGTTTGAAGCCCCACCCTGGCTTCTGCCATGGGCCCTGAATATAGCCAAAACATAGAAATGGCCTAACAGCTGAAAGGGGTTTCTGTGACCTCTCCACGGGTGATCCTCATCTGCATGGTGGCACTTTGTGTCACCAGGTGTTTATCGCTTGTGTGATGTTCTGGTGGGGTACAACTACCTACCAACCTACCTCTTTCCAATACCTCAGAGTTTACAATCTACAGATTACTACAGATCTTAGCACTGACTGCAAATTATACTTTCTACCATGCCATTTCCTCCTTCGTGCTGTCACTTTTATTTTCTTCGGGGTCTCCGTGGCGAAGTGGTCAAACCGTTTGCCTCATGCTCTGAAGGTCGTTGGTTTATTTCACAGCTGCATCGTTCAGTCCACGAGTGCAGTTTTTACACAGATCTCTGGTGAGCATCCCCGGAGCTATTGAGTTCGTGCTTTATGCGATGCTCTTGGCAGGCGGCTAGTCATTCTGTGGAGGGAGACCGAGCCATATGGGATAAAACCTGATGCAGTGAAGTTTAAAAAAAAAAAAAACTATCATTTCCACTGTTGCTATTTATATTCTTCATATTATTCACATTAACAAAACATATTTACAAGGGCTGCATTAGCGCAGTCGATAGAAAACTCGCTTTCAAATCCGGATGTGACTCTCTGCAGCTCACGGGCGGTGTTCGAAACCGGATGGTTCCCAGGGTTCATCCAGCCTCTAGGAAATGGGTACCAGAGTTAACAATCTGGGGTAAATGGAGGAATGGCGCTGTAGCTAGAGTTGGCGACACAGGCTGACAGTTTCTGGTGGCAGAGCAATTATGGTTAATAGTCGTGTGCAATGACGCTGGTTCAAATCTCCTGACTTTACCTTTTTTTTATTTAGTACAGAGATCCTACAACATGTAGCCAGAATTTCAACTGGTAAAGAAGACACAATGTACGGTTTACCTTCAATTTTAGCCTTGAAAGGACTGCCAGCAATGTTGACTCCAGCATACCTGATGCAGATCAAGTAATCGCCAGGGGCAGTTGGGCTGTAGCTAAACTCATAGCCTTCCTCAATCTGTCAACCATAGACAAATACAACGTTAATGCCAACAACTGAGAATAACCTTCTTTCTTCTTCCTCTTCTTCTTTCATTTGCTTGAAATAGGTTGTCTATACCTGTATCTGCAATTTTGTCTCTAATATGAACTTCACTGACTGTTGTAATTCGGTCAGTGACCCGTAAAGTTTGGCTTGTACAGGTATATCTTGTGGCCAAAAGTTTTGCCTTGATATGATGTATTTGAGACAGTCTTGAAGGATGTGATCTGTTGTCTCAGGTGCCAATCCACATGTACACATGGCTGATTCGCCAATCCCAAATTTTGTGTACATGTGGCTGCAAAGTCAATTGTGTCCTGTTCTAAGGCGTAGAATAATGACTTGCTCTGGTCTCTCAATTATATGGTAATCGTCTTGTGCCAGTTTTAGTGGCTTTTTGATTGATTTGATATTTCTCTTCTTCTGTTGAACAAGCCAGCATGATGATTTCAGCAATATATTTCAGTTTAAAATTAAAGAGTTTGGAGGCAACTGAGATGTGGTTCTTGAGAAGAATGTTATGAATACCTTAGACTGCCAGAAAAACTAACAATGATTGCCTGGAAATGGCTAATGAAAGTAGAACATTATTTGCAACAATGAGAAGGAGACAAAGTTCTTTGGTCATGTGATGAGAAAAGGAGCACTGGGAAATATCAAGACGACTGGAAATATCACTGGTAGAAGAGGCAGAGGCAGACCAACAGAAATGATGGTGGATGGCTTAAAACAGTGGCATGGAGGAATATTATCAGTGGAATTGATCCAGAACACCAAAGACCGAGATCTGTGGAGATGTATGAATGCCTACGCCAGCTGATAAGGTACTTGATGATGATGATTTCAGCTTGATCTTTATTCCAATTCAACCAGAATGGCACAGTAATTACAGTACAGACCACTTAAAGTGATCTTGGATGTGGTGAATTTCAGTTGTGAAGAACAATTTGTTTATCCCCAGCAATGTTTCTTGCTTGAACTCTGGATAAGAAGAATTTCTTATTTAAAGAACCATTTCTTGTCAGTTCTGCACTATGTTGCAATAATTTACATATAGTGATTTCATCTTGGGGTTCAGTTTATAAGTAAAGTTAAAAAAAAAAAAGTTAAGGACCCTTTTCCACGCCTTTAGGCGTACAGGGCATATAGGGCTAGACCTATATTTTTATAGACCAATCGGCACAAGATGGGTGATGTGGTCATCATCACACCGGCCGCCTTTACTTTCCTGAGACCGCAGCCGGTACCCACTCAAGGCTGGGTCGACCTGGGAGCCAAGGTCATTTTTGGAAAAAGTCCGGCTCCGCCAGGGAGCGAACCTATGACCTTCCAATCCATGCCATGCATCTAGCCGCTCAGCCACAGCGACTCCCTTCAGTTTATCGATCTTCAGATCTTGAAGTCACTGCTGACCCATAAGGCATTCACAAGTGATCTCCAATACTGCCGGCCTGCTGCTTTTCTGCCAATGGTATTCCATGTCTTTTTACACTCTTTCATTTCCTTTTTCACAGTCCTTCATGTTTCCTTATGTTATCCACGTCTCCTATTTTCCATCTGCTGCCCACCAGCCAGCTGTCCTTGGCAAAGCATTACAAGACATTCTACAAACATGTCCAAACCATCTCTATCTTCTTCCTTTGATATTCTCTACAGTTTTTGTCCAGGTTTCCTTATGTCGTCCACACCTCCCTTTTCCATCTGCTGTCCACTGGAGAGCTGTCCTTGGCAAAGTGTCTCAAGGTATTCTACAAACATGTCCAAGCCATCTCCATCTTCTTTTAATAACATTTGCCAGTAATGAATATTTTGTTTTCCTCTTTTTCTTCTTCTTTTGTAATCTCGTTTAGCCAAAATATTCACAGGATTATCTTCAGAGACTAATGCTGCTAGTTTATTTGTCTTCTTTGCATTCACTGGTTGTAAACTTTGGCAAGTGCTTGAAGACAACTTATCACAAATATCAGAAAGAGACAGTCATAATTTTTGGCTACGTTATAAGAAGAGGGAAAATGGAACATGTTGTGACTACTGGAAAGATCTGTGGAAAGAGAGTCAGAAGAAGACAGTGTGAGAAGAGTCTTGACAGCCTTTTGTCATGGCATGTAGGGGTGTCAACACACGAAATGATACACGCAGTTGTGGACTGCAGCTAGTGGAGAGACATGATCGCCAATGCCAGTCGGCAAGGCACTTGATGATGATGGTGATGATGATATTTACAAGTCTGGGTCAGTCTCGAACCCCCCCCCCCCCCCAAATGTAGTTCCACTCTTCCATTTTGGAGGGGCAAAAAGAATAGGCCCACTGCCCCCTAACAGGCTGGTTGTAAAGGGTAAGTAATTATTCATTCATTCAGTAGCATGTCCCTCGTGGAACCTCGCTGCCATAACAACCCTCCGGAAAACCTTCCTATCCTGTAATTATTAGTTTACTGAAATAGGCCGCACACACAAAATGTGTCTTATACAATGGTAGCAGCTTTTTACCAAATAATTTATTAGAATATATCCCGTACATTTAGGAATTCTGGTTCAGGGGTGACATAAAATGAAAAACGTTTTTACTTGCTGTAATAGTTCTTGCACTTGTCTTCATGCTCACTGTTTCATACTTGTCAGGTTACGTTACGTTTTGCCCATAAAGGTCTCAGAAGAGATTTCAGTACCGTACAGTGCTAAATTCAATAAAATGTGAGTGCAGTAACTTTATGCTATCATACTGTCTTCAAAATTTCCAGTCCCAAAATCTTCTTCATGTTCACGAGCTGTAAACTCCGGCAGAAAGTTCTGGTTGCTCACCCACTTCTGGACTGTGGTCCTATTCGAGAACCTGAGTGTTGGGTGTGCATCTGTATTACAATCTGACTCATTTGCATGCAGTCTGTTGGTTCCTTGCCTTTCAGGCGGATGCACTCCTACTTCAAAGGATGCTTCCACTTAATCCACTCTAACGACATGCTTGTTGGGTAGGTAGTGGGTCTGTTCTTGTTTTCCCAACAACAGGGCCTGGAAGCCACACAGGAAAGTCTCACAATCAAGATGCGTCTTTTACATGGGATTGTCTTATATTTAGGGAAACATGCTAAGTTCTACAGAATAAACTGACTGTGCTCGTGTTGCCTCACCTCTCTACACTCCAGCTTCACTTTGGAAGGCCCTTCTACAGTCACTGCCAGAGATCCTGAGCCAGCATTGACAGTGTTGACAATGAACTTGGCAACTTGACCTGTAAAGGGAAGAGATCGCATAAGCATTATGCAGTCAACTTTTCCCAGCTAATTACAAGGTGGTTTTCATTTATGCTTAGTTGAATGAGTATTCAATTCACACAGTGGAAACCTGGTTTTCCTCAACAGTTATTAAGTTATTTTATTCTTCTTCACATTCACAGACTGTAAACTCCTGTGGAAAGTTCTGGGTGTTCACCCACCTTTGGACTTAAGTCTTGCTCCAAAACCTGAGTGTTGTGTGCACATCGATTTCACAAATCTGGTTTACTTTTATGCAGACATGTGGTTCCATGCCTCGCAGGCAGATTAACTTTCTTCTTCTTTGCGTTTACCAGCTGTACACTCTGGCAGAAAGTTCTGGTTGTTCGTCCACTTCTGAACTACATTCCTGCTCCAGAACCTGAGTGTTGCGTGTGCATCAGTTTACAAATCTGATTCACTTGAGTGCAGACTGTTGGTTCCATGCCTCGCAGGCAGATTAACTTTGACTTCAAAGGATGTCCCCAAATAGTCAACTCCTGCAACATGCTTATTGGGGAGACTTTCAAATCCAGCTGTATTAAGTTGTGTTTGCCCCACAATGGAACCCCGGAATTCACATGGAGAAGCTACTGTATTCAATTCATATTTAAAAAAAAACAAAAAATCTAATTTTCCTAACCAATTCATATCTTGACTATTCAATTCATGCACATAAGATCTAGTTTTCATCCAGTATACAATTTAAGTAAAGTAAAAAGTAAAAATCCCTTTTCATGCCTTGGGAGCATCGGGCGTATGGGAAGAGCACCCATATTTTTACAGACCAGTCGATACTAGGTCGGTAATGTGGTCAGCATTACGCCAGCCATCTTTACTTTCCCAGGACAGCCATCCTGGTACCCATTTCAGGCTGGGTCGACCTGTGACGCCCCATACCATGATAAACATCCATGCAGCCAGCAGTGGGTTTCGATCGTGGTGCATTGGAATTACGAGTCGGACTCCCAACACCTAAGCTACGAACATAGCTAGTATACAAGTTACACGACTGTTTAACTCATACATTTGAAATCTGATTTTCACAGCTGGTTATAAAAGTTGTATGCCTGAGAAGTAGGTCATCTGCATCGTTAGTTATGTCAAGGTCCCCATGTGGGTTCTGGGGCCCTGTTTTAGGGAAAACAAGAATAGACCCACTGCCTACCCAAAAGAGTAAGCATCGACTAACTGGAAGCTTCCTTCAAAGTTGAAGTGCATCTGCCTGAGAGGAAAGGAACCAACAGTCTGCATACAAATTAGATCAGTCAAACGAATGCACACACAACACTCAAGTTCTAGAACAGGACTGCAGTCCAGAAGTGGACGAACAACCAGAACTTTCCGCCGGAGTTTACAGCTGGTGAACACGAAGAAGTTATGTCAAGGAAAGACTAAATATTCTACATTCAGCATACCTGTCTTTCCAGTTTTGAGACCATCACCATAAGCGGTGACCTTGCCGGCATCAGCATCGACCTTGCCTACACAGATTTTGAAAGGTGAGCCAGGGATGTGGTAGTTGTCAAACAAAACATGGACTGTGTGAACACCATTTTCACGAGGGATAAACCGGACTGCATACCTTCCTGCAAACAAGACATTAAAATATGTAAGTATAATGTGTCAAGAATAAAAAAATTGTTTGGGTCATATGTTTAAGCTAGTTTGCATTAAAGCACTCATACTGTTGATCAAGTAATGGATCATAAACTGTTCCTTCCCACAATGCTTAATGGCAGAAGTGGAAATTTATGATGATGAATCATATCATTTCTGGTGTATTCTGGGAGTTGTTTTCTTCTTCTATGAGCTGAGAAACAGTTATTATTTGTTGTTTGTGTTCACCGGCTCTAAACCCCGGCAGAAAGACCTGGTTGTTCATTTCTTGACTTTTGGCTCTTTTCCAGGACCTGAGTTTTTAGCGTGCATCCGTTCTACAGACCTTGCAAATTTTTATGCAGACTGTTGGTTCCTTGCTTCTCAGTGGGTCTATTCTTGTTTTCCCCACCATGGAACCCAGGAACCCACACATGGATGAGAAAGAGTTGTTTTCTGAAGTGATGAATACGTGTGTGCCTGTGTGTATGTGTGCCTGTGTGTATGTGTGCCTGTGTGTGTGTGCCTGTGTGTATGTGTGCCTGTGTGTATGTGTGCATGTGTGTATGTGTGTATGTGTGTATGTGTGCCTGTGTGCATGTGTGTATGTGTGCATGTGTGTTTTTCATTCTCCCTGTTCCCTGTGTGGATCCAGGCCTCCACTGTGGGGGTGGGGGGGGGGGGAATTGACCCACTGCCCCCCCCCCCCCCCCAAAGCATGTCCTAAGAACTGACTAATAAGGGATGTTTCCTTCAAAGACAGAGTGCACCAGCTTGAGAGGCAAGGAACCAACAATCTGCATGCAAACAGACCAGATCGTCAAAAGTGATGTGTATTGAAAACTCAGGTTCTGGAACAAGCCTCAAGTCCAGAAGTGGAGGTGAACAACTAGAACTTTCTGCAGGAGTTAACAGCCAGTGAACATGAAGAAGAAGAGACTCTCTCTGCCAGTGGTTTTTCAGAGGAGAAAGCCACAGGTCTCTATGAAGGTGCTGATGCAATCCACACAGCCTTGGTCTCCATTGGAATGCCAAATGGTCAGACCTGCAATCTACTGAATGTAAAGAGCATGTCTATATCACATTTGTTGCACATCTGTAGCATATGTTCATTATTAGTGGTGCCTTTGCATATGGGCAAAGTTATGAATCTCCCAATCATAACTTCCAGTAAATATGGTTGCAGAATATGTCATGTTCAGTTCACAATTTAAAAACAGTGATCTGTTTCTCTTATGTGAAAAGGTTGAGCATGACTTGGCTATTGTGTTCTGGATGAGAAGATCAGAACCGAGTTTATAATAATAACATTATGAGATATGATGAATTGTCTGGGGCAAAATGGACTATAACTGCTTGTGACAGAAGGAATGATAGTTAATAATTCTGTGACAGAAGCAATTTTAATTAATTCTGATTTAAAGCAATTGTAATTAATAAGAATTATGATTGTAAATCTGGGAAAGAAGGAATTATAAAAAAGAAACAGGAAAATCTCTGGAATAAAAAAAAGGAAATAACTGAAAAGAACGGGTTGATTCAGCAACAGTTGGAACTAAAATAGGTTAAATTAATACAAATATTAAGTGGGTTCGTATAAGAAATGACTCTAACAGAGAAAGTTACAATTATGTTATTAATTTTTTAAAATGATATCAGGACACTTTGTGACAGAACATTTCTTTACCGTCATCAACTTCCTGAACCAGGGCTTCCTCTTCTGTGCCAGAAGGGGATACTACTTTGGCTGAAAGTCTGCCCTTTGCACCGTTGAAGTTGACAACAATGGCGGCTGGCTTACCGACCTGGAGATAGTCATGAGGAAACATCTAGTTGTCAACAACAGCAGTGGCTTTCCCACAGGGTAACACACAGAAAACACAATAAAGCTGTAATTAACAATTTTCTGTTGCATTAAAAAACAAAAAACACTTTAGTCATCATTTTTACGTCACCCTTTTTTTGAGGTGGTTTTTCTATGTGTTAATATCTGATTTGTGATGCTAGGCGTCATATTTTAAAGGATGATAAATAGAAGAGCTATGGCACACTCACTTGTCTGACTGCTGTGATGTTAAGTCATAGGCTGTATTAGGTCATTTTGTACTTTTCAAGTTTGTCTGCCTTTAATTACATTTTTGTTTCAAAGAGAACACTTGTTCTGAAGATATTTCAAGTTCATCTACATTAACATGCACAGTTTACATTGTGTATAGGATCACAACCTAGCTTGCCTGTAGGATTTTCAATTAGTTTAAAGCTTTCTGTTGAGTAGAGAATCATCACTTGGTCAACATCTCTGGGATGCTCATGGTGTTATCCCAATAGTGCCAGCTAGCCTACCTGCTCTTTCATTCCTGACAACACCTGTATCACCTAGTTTGAGCATTACCCCTTTATTCTTTGTATACAGAAAATACAGGTCACTCTAAAAAAAAAAAAATACTGTATGGTGACAGAAGAGTTCAAACGTAAGTTAGGAACATGAGGATGTAGTTATGCTTGATCATTTCTGGCTATTGCATAAGGTGTCTATCTTCTCTGGTCAAAAATTATGTTTATGTATGCACACTTATCATTATCTTGTATCACATATTTTACAGAACATCAAACAAATTGGTGGAAAGATTCTTAATCCTTCACCAGTTCCACACTTTGTCTATTTTCATGCCTGTAGTGTTGCTATTTTCCCATGGGAATTCTCTAAGCAATAATATGGGAGTACACCTTGAAATAAGAGAGAAATACATGAGAATGTGAATACTCATAGAAACACAAGATATACAAGCAGGGCTCAAACCAGCACGTGAAACCCAGAACAAGGGTTATATGGTTAGACCAAGGTCTAATCCAACTTGGCATATTGTCTCCTTGGTGTGCTGACTGGTTGCTAGGGGTTGGTTCATACAAAAGACATTGATGACATTTTTAATGCACACAGTAACGAGTGGACGATATCCAGTTAATATTCTTTATTACACTTTCACAGGTGATCTGGTCCAGTCAATGTCTACTAAAAACTAGTGTATTGATCCCTCCCCCTTCTTCTTCTTCATCTTCTGGAAACTGTGTTGTGACTTACATTGCTATTCTTCCTAAACTACTGTGATATTTAATGTGCCCGAAGTTAAGTTTCTGGGACACACTGCTGATAATGAACTAGTAGCTTTTAAATAGTGCATACAAGCAAAGTCTGCTGAAGGTTGAAATGCTTAGCCATGTAGATGTGGGAATCAAGGTGAGACTATCACATTATGTACCCCTAGAAACTCTTTAAAAAAAAGCTGAATAAAGGTCATGGGTGGCCTAGAAAGAATAAAAAAGGTGATGGAGGGTACAGTTTCTGGAAAAGGAGGCAAAGACCAACCCCCAAGTGAATGGGGAAAAGATACTTCTTCTCAAAGTCCATGCCATGTGGCATTGGTAGTCATGTCTATCCACAACCTTCTGTCTCGTGTACTTTCAATTAACTCTAATACAGATAATCCTCCATGCAATGTGGCGTTGGTAGTCATGTCTATCCACAACCTTCTGTCTCGTGTACTTTCAATTAACTCTAACACAGATAATCCTCCATGCCATGTGGCATTGGTAGTCATGTCTATCCACAACCTTCTATCTCGTGTACTTTCAATTAACTCTAACACAGATAATCCTCCATGCAATGTGGCGTTGGTAGTCATGTTTATCCACAACCTTCTGTCTCGTGTACTTTCAATTAACTCTAATACAGATAATCCTCCATGCCATGTGGCGTTGGTAGTCATGTCTATCCACAACCTTCTGTCTCGTGTACTTTCAATTAACTCTAACACAGATAATTCTCCATGCCATGTGGCGTTGGTAGTCATGTCTATCCACAACCTTCTGTCTCGTGTACTTTCAATTAACTCTAATACAGATAATCCTCCATGCCATGTGGCGTTGGTAGTCATGTCTATCCACAACCTTCTGTCTCGTGTACTTTCAATTAACTCTAATACAGATAATCCTTCATGCCATGACGTCAAACTGTCCAGCATCTTTTCTCTCAGCTCCTCCCGTCCAACTTTCCAACTGTCAACATGTACTCCAGTTTTCTCCGTGTCATCACATGATCAAAGAATGTAGAAAGAACCATACAACTAATCCTACACTTACTGTGGCTTCCACCTGTTGTCTGCACTGCCCAGAAACCTTTCCAGCCTCATATTGGACTAATTAGCCACTTTCGTACTTATGCTCACTGATCATTACTACTTTGGATTAAAAGTGGTCTTTATCACTCGTGATGGACAAACAATGACGTATTACACTCAGCACACTGATCTCTATAATCACCACATAATTCACCAATAATTAACTGAGAACTCCAGTCCCTAGACAACACAAAAGGTTAAAAAGTTAAATTTGAGAGGAACAACTTAATTGCACCGAGTTTTATCCCACATGGCTCAGTCTTTCTCAGCAGAATTGCTAGCCGCTTGCTGAGAGCGCCTAACAGAGCTTTAACTCAGTAGCTTTGGCGACGACCCCCAGTGATCTCCGTAAAAATTGCACTCGTAATAGAACATCGCCACCATGAAACGAGCCCACGACCTTCAGAGCGCGAGGCAAAAGGCTTCACCACTTTGCCATGGAGACCACACAAGACTACAACCTCACCTGTAAGCCTCTGTCTTGCAGGGATTGCACTGAGAGCTTTCTGGCATCTCCAATTGAAGGGCTGATGCTCACACGGAAGGGGGAGTCTGGGATATGCTCATCGTTGAATTTAACAGACACATAATATTCACCTGTAGGAATGTAGACAGAAAGAAAAATTTGTTTTCCGTGCATCAACAAATGATTTTAGTTATATACTGAAATATTTGAGGTTGAACATATGTATAACTCTTTGAGTCCCAGGGGGTTTAGCATCACAGGCCCAAGGGGTAGTCAAAACAGACGTAAAATTGGCGCATCATGCGTTCATTGGGCTTCTAGGCAGTAACCTATGTACTTATGATGCGTTCCTTGGGACTCAAAGAGTTAAGCCTGCCAATAGCTTTTTTATGATAGTTTCTTTGAAACTCCCTTTCCTGCTATTTTTAATAGAAAACTAAATGAACACAACATAAAATTTGAGTAGAAAGCTGAATGAAGAGTAAGGGAATTTGTACACAAATACAACTGGCTGTCACAACTTAGTCTTTGCCCATAAATAACACAAGAATCTGACATCACAAAGACAGAAAAACAAAACAAAAACAAAGACAGGTTATCCAATGGTACAAGAAATGATGATGAAAAAAAATAGGAACAATAATGGGTGTTGAGAAACAAAACAAAGAAATGTACGGATTTGTGCCAGGTACCATCAGACTGAGCTTTGTTATGCTTGGCGTATGCAGTCAATCCATTAGCTTTGTATTGTAAGGTTATATTTGCTCAGATAGTTTCAATTTCATATTTTTTGTGTGTGCTGACACTTTCAGAAGTTTAGTGGTCTCACGTACATTGCAATGACCATGTCACAGCCAATCACTGAGGCAGGATAATTGTCACATCAATTAGGCTTTAAAATGCCATTGGGTCACATGGAAATTCCCCCGCTGATTGCTATATTTAGTTTATAAATGTCCTGGTTTATTGAACACAGTGCAGTGTTGATAGAACCAATGGAATTTCACTTCTCTTTCGAGGACAGGTTACTGCACATGGTGAAATATCAGCAGTGGCCAGATTTAGCATTCTCGGATTGACTGGGTTAAACATGCTGCATTGATGGGCTGAAGAAATAACATTAAAACAGTTTTAAAAAAAAAAAACACACACTGATACCAGTTGAATAAAATAGATAACGTTCTTCAAAATTGGAGTGCATCTATCAGAAGCAAGGAATCAACAGTCTGCATGCAACACTCAGGTTTTGGAACAAGACTAAAATCCAGAAGTGGACGAACAACCAGAACTTTCTTCTGAAGTTTACAGCAGGTGAACGTGAAGAAAAAGAAAAACAAGATAAAGGTACACAAAATATAAAAACACCAGACTAAAGAATACCTGTGTTTATTTTAAAAAAAAAAAACACAGTTTAAAAAAAAACCCAGATAAACCCACACAAAAATGTGATCATGGTAAAAATAAAAAAAAACATATACTCACCAGGTTCTGCTACTCTATATGAAACCTGGCAGGAGCCATCTTTCTTGTCCTTGAAATCAATCTCAGCCTTTGAAGGACCCTCCACTGCAATAGACAGGCCTCCTGCTCCAGCCTCTCGGGTGTAGATGTTGAATTCATCTGATTGATCACAATGAAATGATCATCCTCAAGAACAATTGTTGTCACATGATATATGTAATTTAACTGCGATCACAGTTAGTTAACAAATAATGCTCCTAATTTCTTTGAATAAAAGTTTCTTATTTTAAAACTAATGAAACCATAACAGATCATGGTTCTTCTTCTTCTTCTTCTTCTTCTTCTTCTTCTTCTTTAACTTCTTCTTTAACTTCTTTTTTTTCTCTACTCCTGGAATGCCTCACAGGATCAGAGTAAGAAGAAATCTCTGGAACTGACCCTTCTGTTTGCTTCATATACAGTGTCTCTGATATTTTTGCAGTCCACATTCTGTGTGGTTGACCTCTGGATCTGTCACAGTTGTATCTGTAAAACATTGCTCTTTGTGGTGTCCTGTCTGCTGTCAATCTTGTTACAATCGCTAAATCTTTTGATCTATTCTCTACCGATAAAGTTAAGTATTGGTTCTGTGCTAATATCATTGTTCTTAGGTCAATCTTTCCTTGTTATAGTTAGCATAGTATGTAAACATTTTACAGATATCATTATTTCTTTACTTCTTGGTCCATAGATTCTACGAATTGTATACATTCTAAGAATTGTATATATTCTAAGAATTTTATAGATTCTAAGAATTGTATAGATTTTAAGAATTGTACATATTCTAAGAATTGTATATATTCTATGAATCTTTCTACAGCATTTAAGCTCAAAAGTACCTCTTTTCTTCCTTAATAAAAGTGTGAGATAGTCGATGACTCACATCCATCTGTCGCTACAGAGAAGATGCATGCTCTCAAAATATTGACTTTCAGTCACTTACCGGTGCTTAGCTATAGGCTCTGGCCTCCTCATAAAAACTCCACAGTCTCCAGACCACAGATAACATTTAATTAAACCCAGCATGTCTTCTTCTTTTTTGTTCATCGGTTGTAAGCTCCAGCAGAAAGTCCTGGTTGTTCGTCCATTTGGCCTGAGTTTTGAGTGTACATCAGTTTAACTGGCTTATTTGTTTGCAGTTAGTCGTTCCTTGCTTCTCAGGCAGATGCACTCTGATTTTGAAGGAAGTCCCCAGTTAGTCGACTCCTGGGAGATGCTTGTTGAGGAGGCAGTGGGTCTATTACTGTTTTCCTCGCCGTGGCCCCCCAGAACCCACACGGGGAACCCAGCATTTAAACCCAGTTGAACTATCAGCGAACCTCAGTACTTGCTTGCGGTCACCACTTACTTGGTACGTCCACCTCTCCCCTCTCCAAGCCTTGTCCAGATGCATGAACCTTGTGGGCACCACCTCCAGCGATGGGACCAACAGTGAACTCAAAGGGGCTGCCTGTAGAACAAAATTAGCATAGTAAATATGAGGGAGTAAGTTTTCTCTTACAATCAGATAAATTCAACAACTCCCTCTCTCTCACTCACTCTCTCCTTCTCACCCCTCTCCCCTCCCTCTCTCATTCCCTCTATCATCCCTTTTCCACTCACCTCTCTCACACTCCCTCACTCCCCAATCTTCATCACTCCTTCTCACTACTCTCCCCTCCCTCTCTCATTCCCTCTATCATCCATTTTCCAGTCCCCTCTCTGACACTGCCTCACTCTCTTCTCCCTTTCTCAGTCCCCACTCTCACTCACCCCTTTCCCCTCCCTCTCTCATTCCTTTTCCACTCCCCTCTCTCACATTCCTTCACCCACTCTCTTCTCCTTTTCTTACTCCCTCTCTCCCCACCCTCCCTCACTCCTTCTTCCTTTCTTACTCCCCCTTTCCCTCACTCTCTTCTCCCTTTCTTACTCCCTCTCTCCTCTCACACCCCTCTCCCACTCCCTCTAATATCCCTTTCCTGTCTGTTACCAGGGGATCTGGCCAACGCTCAACACTAAGGGGAAAGATGAGACGGATATACAATCAGACGGTTACTAATGCCATCGGAATTGGAATTCTTTGCTTGCTGCTGAAGATGGAGGACGGAGCACTTATGATGGTGTCATGAGTACTGTGATGTCGATTCTTAATTTAACATTTAACTCCCCTTCTCTGACTCCCTCTCTTGTTTCCACCTTTCTCTTGCAGTATCCACTCTTTCAGCTGAATACAAGTATACCGTTCTTCTTTAAGCAAACTCAATAGTTACATAACGAACATTTTAACCAAACCTTTAATAGAATACGCTCCAAGCCAACTGAATACAGTCATATACTAAACACTGTATGTAACTAAACTTATGAAATACTTTCCGAGGAAACTCACTGACCAGGGATATGCATGTCCTTGTGTTTCACACTGACAGTGTGCACACCCATCTCCTTGGGCACAAACTTAATGCTGTAGTGGGAGTCATCCAGGCTGACCACATCACACACTTCAGTGACCCCCGAAGGACTCTTTACAGAAGCTGTCATATCATAAGGTGTGGTTCCTGAAAAAAAAAAGATAGTTATTATCAGTGATTTTCTTGAAAAAAAAAAGGAATGAAGAAAAAACTGAGGGGACTGCTTGGTCTCGAGGCATAATGTTCGCCTCAAGTGCTAGAGGTTCCGGGTTCAATCCCCAGTAAGGGATGGGTTTTTTCACATGGAATTTTGTTTGATAAAAAGAAACTTCCAATACTCGCCACAAATTGTTTAAAAAAAGTAGCGGTTCTCCTCACAAACTGTCTTCTGACAGCATTACTAAAAGAACTAATGCCTTAACAAAGGTGCCGGTACTAAGTACCATTGCATACCACAATAAAAAAAAAAAATGGCCTTGTTGTTATGCATACTATTAAGAGGGAATTCATGAATGCAGAGTACTCCCCAGGTGAGGATTTTTTTTGAGGTTTTGAACAATGGATCAACATCATGCCATAAGTGCGCCGTTCTTCTTCTAACTCAAGTCTGAGTCTGAAGAAGCTCAGCACAGTTCACAGGCTCTGTAGCACCGGCGAGGATCCTAAAATACTTTATGTACAGCTCCCCCCCCCCCCTTCCAACTCCCCAGTGAAAAACAATACAGGTAATGTTAGTCAGTCATGATATGACTTTCTCCTCTTCTTCTTCTTCTTCTTCTTCTTCTTCTTCTTCTTCTTCTTCTTCTTCTTCTTCTTCTTCTTTTTCTTCTTCTTCTTTTTCTTCTTCTTCTTTTTCTTCTTCTTCTTCTTCTTCTTCTTCTTCTTCTTCTTTTCTTCTTCTTCTTCTTCTTCTTCTTCTTCTTCTTTTCTTCTTCTTCTTCTTCTTCTTCTTCTCTTCTTCTTCTTCTTCTTCTTCTTCTTCTTCTTCTACTTCTTCTTTTTCTTCTTCTTCTTCTTCTTCTTCTTCTTCTGTCTTAAAAGGGCTGTTAGCTGTGATACCTATGCTGTTTGGTCCAACATACCCGATTTTAGCAAAACCCTAACTAGCTGCTTGCTGTGATATCCCCATTAGGTGACAGCCAGTCTTCCTTTCTATCCCCAATAAACGGAGCCATGGGACCCATGCAGGGACATAACTGGCAATTTAGAAGACTGCTACCTTTGTGGGTTCTGGAGCCCTATTGTTGGGGGGGGGGGGGGAATAGATCTGCAGCCTCCATAACAAGCATGTAATAAAAGGTTGTTAATTAGGGCTGTTTACTTCAAAATTAAAGCGTCTCTGCCTGAGATGAAAAAGAACTAACATTCTGCAAAACAAATAAGCCACATTTGAAAATAGAAGTGCACAGGAAACTAAAATTCTGATACAAAAACTTGAAGAAAAAAAAGACAACTTTGAACCAGAATTTAAAGATGAAGGAAGAGTTGAGTCTATTGCGAACAGAGGAAATAGAGTGTGAAGGTGAAGGAAGAATAGAGTCTATTGCGAACAGAGGAAATAGAGTGTGAAGGTGAAGTAAGAATAGAATCTATTGCGAACAGAGGAAACAGAGTGTGAAGGCTGATACAGAAAGAAAACACTGGATGAGCTGTTAGAGTAGCATGGAGGACTTAAGTAGGAATAAAGAAAACAAGGAGTTTTTGATGGTACAACTGCAAGGTTGCTCAGAATGGCAATAAAGAAAAAAGAGAAAGATAAAGAGAGAGAGAGAGAGAGAGAGAGAGAGAGAGAGAGAGAGAGAGAGAGAGAGAGAGAGAGAGAGAGAGAGAGAGAGAGAGAGTCAGAGACAGAGAGACAGCATGAACAAATTTTATTTTCAAAAGGTCAAGAATGGCAATAAAGAAAAAAGAGAAAGATAGAGAGAGAGAGAGAGAAGAGAGAGAGAGAGAGAGAGAGAGAGAGAGAGGAGAGAGAGAGTCAGAGACAGAGAGACAGCATGAACAAATTTTTATTTTCAAAAGTTCAAGAAATGGCAATAAAGAAAAAAGAGAAAGATAAAGAGAGAGAGAGAGAGAGAGAGAGTCCAGAGACAGAGAGACACATGAACACATTTTATTTTCAAAGGTCAGAATGGGCGTGCAGGCCTGCCTCACATTTAGCCATTCTAAAGACTCATCTTTCGAACAGCAATTGGTTAATTGCAAAGAGAGGGAGAGAGAAGGGACAGAGAGAGGGACAGAAGATAGACAGAGAGAGTGAGGGACAGAAAGATAAGAGAGAGAGGAAAGAGAAAAAAGAAAAAGAGAGAGAGGAAAAAAGAACAGAGAGGGATGTTGTTTGGGTTGTGTTGTATAAATGTTGTGTATTATAACATCACAACCAAATCATACAGCACATTCCGCTCTGAAGTAGCCGAGGAAGAGAAAATAAGAGGAAAGTGAGACACACTGTTCCACAAGAATAAAAAACCAATATACAAGATAACATTACCTGTCCATGATGCATGTTTCTTGAATTATTTATAGGCAACCTCCGTAAGCAACTACATTTCCTAGGTTGTTTGGTGCTTACTAAAAATTGTTTAGTGTATTCACACAAACGTGTGTACCAAAATCTTGTTCAATATTTTCAAGAAATTTTTTTTAATTGAAATCTTGTTACTCCCAAGATAAATTTGGTTTACCAAAATCGTGTTCAATACTCCAAGACAATTTTGTCTACTAAAGTCTGTGAGTCAATATTCTAAGACAATTTGTTTACCAAAATCTTGTTCATACAGAAAGACAATTTGTTTACCAAAATCTTGTTCAATACTCCAAGACAATTTGTCTACTAAAGTTCTTGATCAATATTTCAGACAATTTTTCTCCTAAAGTCTTGATCAGTAATCCAAGACAATTTGGTTTATTAAATTGTTTTCAATACTCCGAGAAATTTTGTTTACAAAATTTTGTTGATACCCAAGACAATTTTGTTTATTTAAAATCTTTTTAAGATTTCAAAAAATTAAAAAAATTTGTTTGTTTCTTTAATTCCCAAAACTGCTTATTTAAAATATTTTTTCAGTAAATTAAAAAGTTTGTTGACAAAAAATTTTCCCTTGAATTTTCCCAAGTCTTTTGTGTGTGAAAAAAATCTTTTTCCCATATTCAAAACCCAGTTAATTTAGTAAAATCTTTTCCATATTAAAAAACCGTTTTTTTTACTAAAATCTTTTCCTTCCCAAAAAAATGTTAATTTCAAAAAATTCTTACCATTTTCCCATAAAATTTTTCATTTCCCAAAAATCTTTTTCCCAATTTCAAAAAAAAGTTTTTTTTTTTTATAATCTTTTTAAGCCTCAAAAACCAGCGGGGTTTAAAACTAAAAACAGTAAAAAAAAACCCCGGGACTAATCCTTTTTTATTTGTGCTGCCACTAAATCTGCTTTCTACAAAACCTTTTCTATTTAAGGGGAAAATTTAAATTGAAATATCTTCTCCAACCCCACATTTTTTATAAAAAAAACCCCAATCAGAAATTTTTTTCAACAACAAAAAAAGAACCAATGTGTTTTTATCCTCTGCACCCTAGCCTACTCCAGGATTTAAAGTAAATAGCCAATTCCCCCTACCTGATTTATGGCTCTCAGAAAAGACGCTATAGGGGAAAGGAGGGGGGGAAAGGAGGAGGTGGGGAATGTGTTTATCTCTTTTTCAAATCAGTTTAGGTGAAAAGGGAAATTTTGGGGAAAAAATGAAGATGAAAGTTTCGGGTTGCACCTGGGTGAGGGGGAAGTTGCAAAGGGGGACTATAACTTGATCCCTGGAGCTTATTTTGGTCTCCCCCAATTTTTTCCCCCTCATCTTCAGGGGCATCGAACCAGGGGCTGATTTTAATTTTGTAAAAACACTACAGAACCGGGCATAGAACACCCCTTATCCCCAAAAAGGTTGCCATGTTTCTATTTCTGTTTAAAAAAGGATAAACA